TCCGTCGTCCTCAAACTCGGCATACTCATCGGCATAGCACGACATTTCCTCAGCATCACCTGCATCACTTCCAACAGCTGCTTCATGTTGATCACTTCTCAATTTTGCTTTCTTACGTTTCTTCATTGATCTCTTGGTGGATTTAACATCGGATCGTCCAACGGAGTCGGAAAGATCCTCAAGCTCATCTCCACTTTCTCCATCAATGACCAAAAGACCTTCACCTTCCGACGTTGAGCATCCATCATCAAGAACTGCCATGATCTTTTCCACACAGGATGATTTTAACTTTCTCTTCTCTTGATCGACGCTCACATAGGGAATGTAGTCTTTGACGGTCATCTCGATGATGTTGCCGTTGGGATCTAACATGAATGGAGTTCTTCCAGTCGGCCATACAAATGAGTAACCAAGATCAACGCATCGTTTTCCCATGGAGAGCACAGAAGGTGTGTCTTCCAGGATGTGAGCTTCTGCTGGTTCGCTGAATGCCTCGAACTTGATGCTTGAACGTTTGGTCGAACATGTTACCCCATTTGCTGTATGGAAGTTGACGACTTTGTCATCGTATGTTGGGAGATCCATTCTACTTATTCGCGTGGATGAAATGAGATCATGACCACTTCCAGAATCCAATATGAATCTCTTATCTCTCTCCTCAACAGGAACAGTGATACACATTGTGTTGCCCCTTTTACCATATCGACCTTCAATATGCTGAACATAGTTCTCCACAAAGACTTCCCTGGACACCTCACCGTCCTCGATATCGAGTCTGATCAGAATGTCCATGCTAGGGCCGACGATGACCAGGACTTCATCAATGTCACTGTATTCACCCTTCTCATCGATCAGAATAGCCATTGCTTTCCCTCGGCTCGAAGCTAACCTGCATGAATAAGACCATTGCTCATCTCTCCTTATCTGATCAGTGGGCTTACCAACTTTACCATGACCTTTGGAGATGGTTTGGGATTTCCAACTGCACTTCACGAAGTCCTTCTTTATGTAAGTTTGAACGTGAGTCTTAGACTCATCAAATCTGACCTTCTTCTTGACCACGTTCGATGCAACCTTATGGAACGTCCCTTCGTCATCACTCCAATCATGGACAAGTGCAGGAGTAGCCTTTGAGCTTGATGCTTCGGTGTTTGGAGCAGTGTTGAATAGATGAGGATCGTGGCGTTTGTTGCATTTGTCTCCATACCGACACTTGCCCTTAGCCCAATGCCAGCATGGTTCATCAACCTTCTTGGTCTTGTTTGCCGGAGATTGACTTCTTGGAGTTCCTGGCTTCCGACCATTCCCTTTTGCGTTCTTATTCGCATCAAACACCTTTTGATCATGACTATATTCACAATCTTTGCCTTTCCTGCATGATTTCTTGATGAAATGGAAATGGCATGGGATCTTCTTCTTGGATCTAGGGCTGGTACTTCGGCTGTTTGCTCGATCCTTTCCTTTCCCTTGACCTTTTCCTTTTCCTTTTGCATGCTGTTTAGGCTGAGGTGATGGTAGAACTGGAGCTGCATCGGCCTTGGCCTTCGCCTTGGGTGCTGCCTTCTCCTTGGGAGTAGCTTTAGGCTTCGCTTTTGGATTTGCATCCGGTGCAGCAGCAGTTGGATTTGGGGCAGGAGCTGAAGGTTTGCCGCCACCTGCAAAGTCTCTTGCATACTTCTCTCTAGCGGCCACATGCTTGTCCTCTCTGATTCTGGAGATGTGCCTTTCGATGACGTCCAACAGGTAGCGATAGTTTCGTCTTTGGTCTCCTTCAATCCATGACTCGTACTGCTTGATGTCGAACGTCATAAGATTCGAATTTCGAATCTTCTTGTATAGAGCATCACGAAGCCAATCATCAGGAGGTACATCATCCGGCATCATGTTTGATACCATCTCCATCCATTTCTCGTAGAACACTTCCAGGTTTGAGTCACCGAGATATTTCATCGATACGATGTGCTCCATGGTGAAGGCTGTTTCTCGTTGACCTGGGGTTCTGAAGTGCTCCAGGATCATAGCCAAGATTTCCCGTCCCATAACATAGGTTCCTCTTCGACTATGACTTTGTGTTCTCAATCTCAATTTGATCGCTACATGACGAGCAACATCGCCGGCTTGGGCTATCACGTTTGACAATGCAATTGACAACTTGGCGTCGATGGACTGATACCGTTGCCCTCCACTGTCATTCAATAGCTCGATGTCAGGATTTGGTCGAATAGCCGGCTGTAGCCATGCTTCCCATGCGGCTTTGTCCCCATCATTTGCCGAAAGAACAGCACTCTTGATGAGATCTGATTGCCAAACCCCAAGATTCTGTTGCTTCGGCCATGGGCTAACATAGACTTTGTCAGCCTCTCGTCTTGACATTCTCGGCACTTCTTCTGCAGTGTAAGCCGCTGTGGAGACATCATCTGCTGAATCGCGTTGTGATCCTCGAACTGAAGGCAAACCTGGAGGTTCGGGAGGTGGTCCAGGACCGTTAGGCCCGAAAGGGTCAGGAGGTCCATCAGGGTCAGGTGGACCGCCCCATCCACTCGGTGGCTTGTAGTAGTCCCTCTCAGTTCCATCAGCGATCTTGTTGTCAACCTCTTTCAGCAGATCAGTGATTCTTTTGCTTGATGGAGAAGGTTGTCGTTGAGAAGGTACAGCATGTTCACGATAGGAATGAGCCATATTTGTCTCATAGTTCAACTCCTTGTCGATCTGCGAAACCCAAGATTTCAGAATAGCGTTTTCACAGTTAGCCTCACTCACGTCATTCTCCAGTTTGTCGATGACTAGTCTTGATGCGAGATCGTAGTTGGGAATGCCTGCCGAATAGGGAAGTGTGTCAGGGCTGACCCTAGATATAGATGTTTCAGAATCCTTGAGACTCTTTCTCAGTTCATCTAAGTGACGTTTCATGTCAACAATCTCAGAATTCTTGATACCGATCTTTTCATCCCTATCCTGGATTTCCCCCATGAACATGCATGATCTCTCATACTGTTGAACACCACTAGCCAACTTCATTTTGCGCTCACTCTCTAGTTCAGATTTTAGAGTTCGGACCTCAGCATTGGTGAGGGACGACGCCCCTACATCCGCAACTTCAGCCAATCTCTCTTTTAACAATATGTTCTCTTGCAAACATTCATGAACTTCATGATCTAGATCCTGAACCCTGATTTGAGCGATTTTGGCTTGATTACGTAGATCTTCAACAAGCATCTCATCGGGGCCACGACCGTCGGTCGTAGTACCCTGAGTCAATGATCTTCGTAACTTAGTGTTCTGCAACTTGATCTCATCCTTTAATTCGCAGTTCATCTCCTGCTCGTTGGTATAGAGCTCTTCATAGTGCTCTGCCCTTGCGATCGAGTTTGCACTAGCCTGTGATTCAAGCCTCAGGTGTGATATTGCTTCGGCCTCTTGGTTCCTGTATGATGCAATTCTTCTGACGGTATCATGTTCAGTGTTTCGATGCTTCAGATCACTTTCCAATTTGGCCTGATTTGCCTCGAAAACCTTCTTCCTAGATTCTCTAGTGATCTCGTCAATACTGCTTTCATACAGCTCGGCCTGTTTACGAGACTGAACTAAAGCTTCACTCAATAGCTGATTCCGTTCAGATAATTCATGAACTGCAATTGATTGTTGTTGGCTAATCACTTCAAGTTGATTGCTAGAGAAGGATGCCATTTCGGATCGATTACGATATTCCATGATTGAGTTCTGGAAATCTGTTTGCATTTCTTGACCTTCGTTGTATAGTCGATTGGCAATATCGGTGGTTAAGACATTGGTTTGGTGAAGTTGTTGCAGTCTTGCCTCCGTATTACCCAATAGTCCTTGAAGGTGATGTACTTCATCCTTGTACTCCTCCACGTTGATGGATCCGTCGTGCACCATGTTCCATTAGGGCACCTCGGCGTTCAAGGTCTTGGATGCGTATTGTTGCACCTTCGTCTTCCTGAGATGCTACCATTAGTTCTGCTTGATATTCTGCAACCTCATTCGCGGAACGTGACAATCTATGATTGAGTGCATTGACTTCATCAAATACATTTTGGTTGTGTTCCCGAAGATACTCGGTGAATCTGATCTCGATGTCATGAATCAGTTGATCTCTAGATGCGGCATATGCTTCCATTTGGTTCAACTGACTACGTAGGGATTGACATTGTGCCCGTAGTTCTTCTATCATGGCAATAGGTTCACTAGCCACAGAAGTATCCGTTGATCTCCTCTTAACATGACTATCCCCGGTCCTCTCACCAATTCGGTCGGTTACGGCCCTGGTGGATCTGTCCCTTGGAGTAGTTCGTCCTCGAGATGGTCGATGCCCTTGGCGGACAACATCACTTCGAGCACTGTTTCGAGAAGACCTTGGTGTACTTTGGGTGGATATCCTTCGTCTGTTTGACGTAACTTGCCATCCGGACTGTGTAGTTCGGGTAGAGCGTATACCACCACTGTCTGCCGTGTCGCCAGGGGAAGATTGATTGACCTCCTCGACCGGCACAGCAGTGTTCTCATTGAAGGTAAACTGCGTGGTGCGCGAATCTCCGCTACCGCCTTGCATCTTTGCGATGATGAGCTGATTGGTCCTTTGCGTCCTCAATCAATTGCTCAGAAGGCCCGGCTACCAGCACGCAGGTACCACTCTCCCGGCGGGAGAGGTGAGCCCTACGGCTGATAACCTGTGAACAAATGGATCCTTGTTCTGGATATCGTTGATTGGTGGTACCTTAGTGCTGGGGACCGCCGAACCCTAGCAAAGCATAGCGAGCATCACGCGGTCGTTTTCCTTTCAGCGGGCGCTTGAGCCACAATGGGCGTTTGTAATGTAGTGATATGTGCATATGAGACATGCACCTAGCGCCTGGTTCCCTTTGACAGATTGACATTGTTCATTCCGTGGCATGAGCCACGCTCTAGTTGACCGCTGCCGGCCATCCATTCACCAAAGTGCAAAACATTTTTGAACACTTCAAAACACACATGAACCGTACCTCGTTGATGATAGCACCCTTCAGAAAAGCATACTTCCTCGGCTGCAAATTTTTCAGCAGACTTCTGAAGTACTCCTTGCAAAATGGCAGTTTCATCATGGAAATCATTGAATCCTCTCAACCATTCTCAACCACAAAAATCAATAAACTCTTGCAGGGCACTCCATGAGAGTGCCAATCTGCCTGACCCTCTCCTGGCAGCTCTGACCATCAATGTGCTTGTGAATTGTGGAGGCTGTGGATAGGGCACTCACCGATATCACCCGACCCCACAGCATGGCCCAGCAAATCCTCGAAGGATTCGTATGCTTTGGTCGCTCGAGGCTGACAGTCGAAAGCATAGAAATGCAAACCGACCTCAGAAAAA